ATCAATAGTTCGTCGCGTTTTTATGAGAGCAACGATCTTACCTTGATCCGTCATGACGTGAGAGATGAAACTCTAAAACGATAGAATATTCGAATTAGGAGAAGGTCAAACGAGGGAGAGAAAGAAATCAGAGGGCAATGATAGCCTAGGAACGATAATAGCTAAACAGCTTGTATGATTTTAGCTATTGCTCTGATACTATGTCAGAAACTAAAAGGATGAATAAAAAGTTTTCTGTTATCGATGAAGATGCCCGGAGGCTACATATTTATACAAGCTATTAAACCTAATTAGATGCAAAGTAAATGACTAAACTACCCATTTGCAAATATACATACACGTTCATTAACACACTTGTGCCTTCTTCTGCAAAATGATCAAGAAAAGGAACAAGCCCCTCCTTGAGTTTACTAGCCGTAGTACTCATTGAAAACCTTTGAAACCCTTGATGATGGATCATTGCCTGATATGACTTTCTCAAATCCTTCCAAAGCTCTGAGTCCATAGTGATTACCCCGTCTCCGAACGCATCAAAATCTTCTTTAAAGTCCGGTCCTCTGATGTAGTTTGAGAAATTTGAGCTCAAGATATGATGAATGTTAGCTGGATCAGCCGTGACCAACATATCCATTCCAACGAACCACGGTCCCTTGAAAAAAACGTCATGTCAGAGATCTCGCAAAGCTCGATGCCGAAGTCATAGAACCGATGGATCACCATGAGCATATTGGGGAACATTCTAAGAACCGGCCAATTCCTAAGGAACGGGCCATGAGGTTTTTTGAAGAACAAGTAATGGATGATGAGAAAGCAAAGGATGGCTAAGGAAGTTTCAAGTAAGTTTATTGAAGCCATACTTGTCTGATGGTTACTTTGCTCGCAGAAACTACTGAACTTATAGGCACACTCCATCACACACTTCAATGCATAAATTAAAGAAATTTTGTTTTAAATACATCAGATTCGTTATATGTAGTTGCATAAACTGCAAGGTACCATTAATGCATATAGTAGATTATAAAATTATAAAATAGCATTAACTTGCCTACACTTCTACTATGTTGACCGTATTAAATTCTGAACTTTATTAACTATTTAAGCTTATTGAAACAATTATAGAATGAGCTGGATTCATGGATCACGAACATACTTCTATATATGAGTGGCCATTTTAAAAACAAAATTTTGAAAGTCGAATCAAATACTCCCTATCCCTATGTATCATTTTAAATGATTTTTAAGATTTTATACACAAATTAAAAAACTATTTAATTTTCTATTTTTCAACTTAAAATCATCAATTCCAATACAATTTAACCAATAGAAAACTAATCTGCAGAATTTAAAGAGTCAAAAACAACAAAAACATAATTAATTTTATTTTGAAAATTTAAAATATCATCTAATTTGAGACAAAAAAACTCTCTAAAAAACCATTTAATATGATACGGAGGCAGTATTTGCGTAATGTAATGATAACGCCAATTTCTCTATCGAAGCTGAGCTAATAACTTTTACGCCATCCTCCCTACCAACTACCTCGGTAGAAGATACGTAGTAAATAGATACGTAGCGAATGTTTTTAAAAAGAGAGATATGTAGTGAATTGTTGATGCATGTGTGTAATACTCCATTTGTTAAAGATGGTACATACAAATTTACTAATTTAGACACCA